GCGGAACTTTTTAATAGCCCGGATATATTAAGCTACAAGAAACACCAAAGTTCCTTAAAGCAGACCTTTACCCCAGCTCTGCATACTGATATGAAATCATCTTACATTCATTTGGTCACAAACATATTTTTATTTAATTACAAATCTTGTTTTCTACTTTCTGGTTCTGTAATCGTGCCCAAGCATTGCATCCTGTTACATCAGCAGAGCATTGCTGGGAAATCTCATCTATAATCTCATGAGATCGCAGGGAAAGGCATTTTCCTCCCCTGAGATGATGTGCATGGTCACATGTCCTAGTCACATGTGCCAGAGTTCCAGGAAGTAAAGGAGATCTATTAACCTGCCCTTAGTTAAAATGGCCACTCGGAGAAGAATGGGGAGGAAAAGAAAAATAAGGTATACAAAGAATAAAAAGCCGGCAAGTAAAGTTCCTCTTTAACACATGCTAAAGTGACTTTCTTCATAGTATTATTGCATGTCATATTATCATGCCTTAAGCACTGTTTAGAATGCCTTAAATGCCATTGCAGCTTATTGAATCAGGGCCAATATGAGAACCTATCTTCCATCTCCTACTTTTTAATAAATTATATCAAGCTGAACAATTAGAGCATTGGTTCTCAACCTGTGTAACCTCAGGACCCACATTTGTCCTTGGCCATTAAGTCGCGACCCAAGTCACACTCCAATGGAACGCACGGCATTGGGGTACCACACGTTCTGGTGCGGCCGTACCCACTGTGGGTGGGAGGTGAATTTGGAGTACAATCCAAATGAACACACCTCCCACACCAGAATGCACGGTAGTTGTGACTGTGTGGTACATTTTGTCGCACTGTACTAGTGTGAACAGGCCCTCAAAAACACTGACATACATACATAGACACATTCTCACATACACACTTTTTTTTTTAAGTCCACCCAGTCTCCCTACCTTACAAGAATTGGAGTGGATCCTCAGCCTGGGGTCCAGTGTGGGCTGCTGTGCTGTGACAGAGTTCCATAGCCCCAGCCCACCCCACCTCAAGTTGACACTCAGCACTGGGCAGCATATTTTGAATGGCAGCTTGGCGCGAGAACTGACGGTGCTGCACTAGGGGGAGGCTGAGGAGCCTCCCACCTAGAAAAGTGGAAGGCATGCGGCGACCCAATGAACATGGGGTTTAGACCCGCTTTTGGGTCGCGACCCACTAGTTGAGAACCAAGGAACTAGAGTATTTGAGGGCTGCATGCTGTTCAGGCTTTTGGGGTGTCATAAATCATTTTGCTTTGTATGTCACACCTCATTTGAGAAAACCTGTACTGTGGGAATATAGACACGGCCATTGCTCACCACTCCTACTGAAAATGATAGTTGACTGCAAAGCTGAATCAAGGACTTGTGAGTTGTGACTTCACTCTGACTTTCTGCTCTACATACTCCTTAAAGGTCAGGGACTAAAATATTACAGCTAGGCTAAAAGGTATTCTTCAGTGGGTATACACTGTTTTATTTATTTTTTTGTTCAACCTATGGGCTGAACGAAAAAATAGAACAATTTCCCCCAGTGTTGCTTACGAGCATTGACAGAGAAATCCCCTGCTGGCCAGTGGCCGCTGCCAGAATAC